GCAGATAATGCTTCTTGGCTGCTGCCCTTTCTATTTCAATATAACTAGGACTATATTGCTCTTTTGCATTCAAGTTGTCATCTTCCTCTCGGAGCACTTTGATATTTGTTCAAAACCATTTTCTCTGTTCAATCTCTTATCTACTGACAGGACTAGTATTAAAGCAGCAGTAGGTCCTTTAGGTGTTCAGTTCGAACTACATCTTTCAATGTTCAAGAACATGCCCCCTAAATTGATCATCAGCCAATCAACTAGGTTTGTCGTGTTCTTGAGCAGTGGACTTGAATCTCCAATCTCATGTTTAGGCATGATTTTCATCTGCAACTACTTTTAATCTGGGGAAATAATGTGAAAGTGCATGTTTTATTTGGTATTATGAAGAAACGGGTATCGTTTCCTTTTGGCTTTTGCACTGTGTCTAGCAATGGACTCACATGATCAAGATTCAGTTTTGTTCTTCGAGTTAATTATGGTTCTTTTTCTCATTGGCATATGCAGATCACAGGATAAGCTATTTTTTGACATATCTGGGCATAATGTTGCAGGTGCTGTTGTTCTATGACTTATCTGGGCATTACCATTGAGGGGGCTACTGTGTTTGACTCCTGGAGCTCTTCTGGTCTGGCATTAGTTGAATTGAATCCTAAATGATTAAACAGTTGTAATAAAAATGAAGAAATGGTACGGTGGTGTTTTAACAACATCCTTGTTGATGTTTTTGGTTCTGGGGTACTGTGTGATGAGGAAACCTGTCAAGGAAAGTTATGTTACAAGTTCTGTCTACTTCAACATGACAAATCCTCTTGAATGGATAAATGCTATGGCTCCACCTGCAGCTCACCAGCCAGAAAAAATTACTCAAGTGATATCTGCAGAAATTGTTGTCTCTGATCTCTTTATTAAGAGGAACCTGTCAGCTCAGGAGCAACAATCTTTGTCTACGTGGTATCAGTTGAAACGCTTAGTTACTCATGATCAAGTCTTACCTAATGCTATAGAGGCAGTTAAGGAAGCCAGTGTTGCATGGAACAACCTCATGAGTGCAGTAGAGAGGGAAAAACTTGATGCAAATGATAGTTCAGTTAAGACAGGGAAACAGAAACAATGCCCTCATTTTCTCAGCAAAACCAATGCTACAGAAATCGATGCTAGTGGCTTTAAGTTGCGGTTTCCTTGTGGTCTGACTCAGGGTTCTTCCATCACAATAATTGGCATTCCAAATGGTCTTCTTGGGAATTTTCGTATAGATTTGACTGGTGAACCACTTCCAGGTGAACCAGATCCTCCTGTTATTCTGCATTACAATGTTAGGCTCCATGGTGATAAAATAACTGAGGATCCCGTAATTGTACAAAACACCTGGACAATTGCACATGACTGGGGTGAAGAGGAGCGCTGTCCCTTACCATCGGATGAAAAGAGTAAGAAAGGTAAGAGAATTTTTTCCCTCTTCACAAAAGGAAACCCATAGCTTTGAAGCTCATTTACCAGCATTCTTTCCAATACTTTCAATGATTTGGCAACTTTCTATGCTCTAGAACTGATGCTGCATCCTCATGTGTGCTCAATTGAGTAACTGCAGTCCTAATGTTGGGCATGCCATTTTTGGAAATAAACTTATTACGCTTGAATTCTGTGTCATCTCTTGAGGTCTAGATCCTGCAAACATTTGGGATTTCTATGTGTGCTGATATTATACTAAACATTCTGAAAATAGGTTTATCTTCTTGGCAATTTTTGCTTATTTAGATATATATAGATTTCCTAATTTCACTATTTCAAAGTCTGCCTGCCTAGTTGAGTTTCAGTGTCTTTCCTGTTGATATTGTCTCTCTCAATTTTGTCCCCTCCCTTTGACCATGTTTTCCATTGCTGCATAAGCCATAAGAGATATGCTGCAAACCTTTTCTCCAATTTGTTAAAAGCTGGTTGGTCTCATTCCTGAGAATCGTGATAACAATTTCTATAATTGCATCATCTCTTTGCACCTCTATTTTCTTCCAAGAGATATAACAGGTTTGTATGACTAGCTAAATTCGGGTTCATCATAATGTTCTCCTGTTGATGTCTTGATGAGGTTTCCCTTCAGCTTCATTCATGTCCTCACTGGTGTCATCATGTGCTTGTTGCATTATTAACTAACATCAGTTACCTTTTTGCCAGTGGATGAATTGGAACAATGCAATGAGATGGTGGGAAATGTCATGGCTACACGACATGTCATTGCAACAAATAAATCTAGTGTGGCTCAGGACGGGTCTAAATCAAGAAAATATTTTCCTTTCAAGCAAGGATATCTCTCTGTTGCCACTCTGAGAGTAGGATCTGAAGGAATTCAGATGACAGTTGATGGAAAACACATAACATCTTTTGCTTTTCGTGAAGTAATTTTTCCTCCGTTTCTCCTTTTCTCCTCTTGTTCCTCAGAGTTTTATTGTATTTCTGTATCATCATAATGGTTATCTGCTTTCCCAGAATCTCCTTTAATTTTTTACGTATGTCTTATCAGACTTTGGAACCGTGGCTTGTAAGTGAAGTGAGGATATCCGGAGACATAAAATTAATTTCTGTTGTTGCAAGTGGTTTGCCAACATCTGAGGATTCAGAGCATATAAGTGACTTGGAAGCTCTAAAAGCAGCTCCTCTTCCTCCTCGGAAAAGACTAGATCTCTTTGTTGGTGTATTTTCTACCGCAAATAATTTTAAGCGCAGAATGGCTGTCCGTAGAACTTGGATGCAATATGATGCAGTGCGATCTGGACAAGTTGCGGTGCGGTTTTTTGTTGGCTTGGTGAGTGATTCTTTTCTTTGCACTCCATACTCTGAAACTACAATTGGATCCAAGTACTGTTCAATAGCGATGCTTATTTAATCCTAATTACTGGATCTTGGGGCTTGGTCTTCAAGTGCCATAGTTCCATGTTCTGCTGCCCAGTTAGAGCCAGAAGATATTCCATCATTTATTCATCCAGAGCATCTTAGTTTAAATAGTAGATAGTATTATGTAATGTCTTATAGAAGTCACATATTAGAATTCAGCGAGTGAAACTTCATTTGACTTGATAATTCTGTGTAATGTATCTGCTGTAGCATAAAAACCAAATGGTGAATGAAGAGCTCTGGAATGAGGCTAGGACATATATGGACATCCAGCTGATGCCTTTTGTTGATTACTATAGTCTTATCGCTTGGAAGACCGTTGCCATATGTGTTTTTGGGGTAAAATCCTCTCTTCCTAATCCATGGAGTATCTCGTGCACGCCTTGCTGACTTCATTTATTGCACAGACGGAGGTCGTTTCGGCAAAGTTTGTCATGAAGACAGATGATGACGCATTTGTTCGAGTGGATGAAATCTTGTCTTCTATGCAGAGGATTAACGTGACTCGCGGATTGCTGTATGGTCTAATCAACTCAGATTCCCATCCTCATAGGAGTCCAGACAGCAAGTGGTTTATCAGTCCAGAGGTGAATATCTTCTTCATATCTCATATTTCATAGACAATTTCACCCCTTGCTCTCTTTCAGCATTCATCATCGAGGAAGGGCATCTGTCTTAGCAATTGATCATGGAACGAACATAACACATAATTGATCTTCAGCTCATATACATATTGAATCTGGTTCTTTTCTTGATATAAAGGAGTGGCCCGAAGAAACTTACCCTCCTTGGGCACATGGACCGGGTTATGCTGTGTCCAGTGATATAGCAAAAACAATCAGCTCAAAACAGAGAAAAGGCCGCCTAAAGGTAAAATGAAGCATTAGTCCATTATCCCTCTCTACTTATTCAACTGTCACTTAAGTGAATGAAGTTTACATTTGAAAATGTATTATCCAGCCACTCGGGTCCCGTATCTCCTATTTAATTCTAATAGTTACAAGTCCGCTGAAAATGCAGATGTTTAAGCTGGAAGATGTTGCTATGGGCATCTGGATTTCAGAAATGAAGAAGAAAGGGTTGGAAGTGAAGTATGAAAAGGAAGAGAGGATTTTTAATGAAGGTTGCCGAGATGGTTATGTTATTGCACATTACCAAGGCCCTAGAGAGATGCTCTGTCTTTGGCAAAAGATTGAAGAGAAAAAACGGGCTTTATGTTGTGGCGAGTAATACAAAATAGTTTTTCTTCCGAGTTTTGAAGGCTCGGAAGTTTCTAAAAAGATTTGCCAAAGATCCTGCTGACCTTTTCTACTAACTGACCAAGGATATCTACTTGAGGTGGAATACCAATTAGGACGGGAAGAAAAGGCAAAGGTCATGCTTATTCGAGCAATACCACGTTGTTGTATAAGGAGGTAGAGTAGTTACTAGCATATTGATATAAGTAGGTGATTAGATTAGCTTGTTAAACATATTACTAGAAGATTGATTAGTGAAGATGATGGTGTGGGATCTGTATTATAAAGAGGAAGCTAAATGGAGGGGCATTATACATTGTATAGAGAGTGGGTACACTAGGTTCGGTGATTATTTTGTATGTAAATCACACGATCTCTCGTACCCATTTCTTGAGTAAAATGGAGAGCATTGATATATACTACAGTATGGTTTTACATTGGAGTTGTCTTCCTTGTATCTTGCAGCTACTGCAATCCTAAGGGGTCGTTTGGTTGCTGGTTAGGAAGAAAGTTGTTCATATATCACGTTTGGTAGTTTTTTTGTTGCTTCGTATAAAATTGAGCACACGAAGTACGGTGTTTGGTCATTATTTTACAATGTCACATAAATAAAACAGGTATTACACGTCTAGTAGTTTGTAGTTGCTTTGAATAAAATTGGACTGCGTTGTTTGGTCATCATTTTACAATGTCACAGATAAAACAGGTATAAGTTATGAGTCAAATTGTGTATTATTTTATGTGGGTAGAAGATAAAATAATTAATTTTTGCATTACTAATACCTGTATAACTCGAACCTTGATTACTTCGGGAACACGGGTTGCCCGTCGCAGCCGATTCCAATATGATTTTGTTCATCAATAGATATTTTCTTTTTAAAATTCAATACCAAATCAAATAAAATACTCAATATATTACAGTTGCATGTCAAACCATACTAAATTGAAGACTACATCATCTCTTATCAAATTTGTTTGAGTTGATTTTTCGATTTTTCTTAAATACCTTTTGTAAACAACAAAAAATTGCAAATGATAGGAAGGCTGGAAACTTTTATTATAGCTCGCCATCCCAGAATTGGTCCACGGATTTGTATGGTCCATTTGGATGAACAAAAACCTCAGCTTTGAATCCTCTGCATTGAGGAATCTCTTTAATTCGAGCGATTTCTTCATTACTTAGTTCCCAATCCAAAATTTGAAGGTTCTCTTTCATCCTATCCTTGTTAAAACTCTTCACTAACACAATAACTCCTTGCTCATATACCCACCTCAATGCAACCTACAATTAAATATCAAATGTTAGATACTCAGATTCGAAAAATATATGTAAAAACACTTTTAAAAAATTTGGTTAAAACTAATTATTGCTCAAAAGTGATTTTTAAAGTAATTAGCAAAACACGCATTGTTTATCATTAAAAGTACTTTTTTGAAAAATATTTTTGATAAAAAGTATTCTTTTAAAATAAGCTGATTTTAAAAGCTAAGCCAAAGTCCAAACATGCTATATAAGTGGATATATTAACAAGAAAAAAAGAAAAAGCTGAAGCAAAATACCTGTGCAATGGTCTTTTGTTTTTGAAAGGCAATGTCTTTAAGTACAGGGCTTTGCATAACAGCATGGTTACCCCATAAAGGTATCCCATTTGCTCCAAGTGGAGACCATGCACTTACATGTATCCCTTTCTCCTTGCAAAATTGTAACATCTTATCTTGCCTCCATGTAACATGCATTTCTACCTGCCAATTAATATTAATCATTTCTCTTGCACTCCTAATTAGCGGTGGCAAAATGGATTTAAAAAACAGTTTTACATTCATATTATCTACTGAACAATACGTCGAATAATAAACTTTTTAAAAATGGGTCAAATATAGATAAGAATTATATTATCCACTTAGAAAATGGATAACCTTTAACTTTTATATTTGTAAAGATTTAAATTGGGGGTTCCTCAAGTTTGGGAGACTAGGAATTCTCCCAAAAGTGATCATATTCAAGAAGCCAATATCCATATTATACGCCGGTTAACCCATTTTCTATCCGTATTAAATGTGGGTTGGGTCGGATAATTTATCCATTTTTACGTTACCCATTTTCGATCCACTCATGTCCGACCGCCCATTTGACACCCCTACTTCTAATATTCTTCCATTGATGAGAATTCCTATAACAACAACAACAACAACCCAGTATAATCCCACAAGTGGGGTCTGGGGAGGGTAGTGTGTACGCAGACCTTACCCCTACCCTAGGGTAGAGAGGCTGTTTCCAATAGACCCCCGGCATCCTTCCTATAAATACACTTAAAAACAATTGAACATTTTATGCAGCACAAACGAGAGTTAAAAGTTCTATATATTGACAGTATAAAAAACAAAATCATATCAATTATAAGATAATTATACTGTAATAAGCATTAATTATGACCTGATTGAACAAGGAACTAACATGCTGTGAAAGGTTAAACCACACCAATAATGAAAATTTTGTTTTACACTTAATGTATACTATAACTTAACTCTTTCTGTAAATTAATTTAATAGGTTATTCTATTTGGTATCCCATCTTTGATGTTTGTGCTCATTTGATCCCATTCTATGAACTTTTTAGAACCCTTGCAAGCAGGCGCGGATGCACCATAGAACTACCGGGTTCAACTGAGCTCAGTACTTTCGACCAGAAGCATAAACTTATGTGTAAAAAATCACTAGAATTACAATAAATAGTAGATATAAACCCATAACTTTAAATGCTGAACTCATAAAACTAAAATCCTAGATCCTCTTCGGTTAATGCAAGCATACCTGGTTAACGGCTGGAGGAATGGTAGCATGGTGCAAGAGTTGAGAGAGTTTTGTGCAGCTGAAGTTGCATACACCAATAGACTTTGCCAAACCTAACCTGTGACATTCTTCCATGGCTTCCCATGTTCCTCTCATGTCAAATGGAATTACATCCTCATTTGCAAACTTAATCTCTTCATCATTACCTTTTTTCATCGTTGCTGGCCAATGTATTAGGTACAAGTCCAAGTAATCCATCCCCAGCGTCCTACAAACATTTTTTCACATGTGCTTAATTAAGTTCTATACATCATGATTGTGTAAAAATTAGTTACACAATCCGATTACTCATAAGATAATTACAGATGAACTACTAGTTAGCAACTTAGTAAAAGTGATAACTATCTTGCTGTACACATTTAAGCTGCATTGACAATATAGAAATCTTTGACATTCACTCGGTAGAAACTAGACGAGAAAAGAAAACTTAAAATTAAACTAGCTCCAACGACGACTATGATATTTTAGGTGAATCTTACGTCAACAAAACACCGAAGAGAAGCTGGGTATACAAGTAAACAAGCCTTACAGCGGCGGAGCCAGAATTTCACCAAGCAGTGTCAAGATATAAAAAAATAGATACACCGAAAAGTTTAAGGGAGTCAATGTATATTAAATATACATAAAACAGAAAAAAAATTTGTCTAGCAATACAATGTAATTTTCTGACGAAAGGGTGTCGATTGACACCCGTTGGATGAATGTGGCTCCGCCATTTATGCCTTAGACTCTAGTGACGCGTTTTTAAGCAGTGTGGACCTAAATCCAAATAGGACAATATCACTAGTGGGGTGTGCCCCATATATATATATATATATATATATATATATATATATATATATATATATATATATATATATATATATATATATATATATATATATATATATCGAATCTACTGTCTTTTATACTCTGAATCTGTCTCTCTCTATAAAAGAAGACTTACATCATTAGCCACTTGTAAAAGTGACAGGTAAGTGTTATCACGGGTTAAACTGCACTGATAATGTAGAAATGTTTGGCATTCATTGGTTAGATACAACAATAACAATCCAGTAAAATCCTATCAGTGGGGTTTGGGGAGGGTAATATGTACACAAATCTTATCCCTGTTCCACAGGAGTAAAAAGGCTGTTTCCGATAGACCCTCGGCTCAAGAAGACCAAAAAAGGCAGTAACAACAACATAAGCCAGAAAGATAATACCAGCAACGTAGGAACCGGAAAGTAGAGAGACGAGCAATAATTAACACTAAACAATATTAATGGCATAGTACTACGAACACGGGGAAGTGGTATGGACGCAACATGAACTACTAGCAGTCTAAACAATATCAGACTAGCCCCACGCCTAGTACGAAATAGAAAAACGCTCAACTACCTCCTAACCTTCAATTCTAATGCTCGACCTCTAATGGCATGGACACAACATGAACCACTATCCTTCATTGGTTAGATATTAAATGATGAAAAAATAAAATTAAAATAAAACTAGCTCCAACAACGACTCTAGACTATTTACAGTATGTTCGGCTCGATATATATATATTGGCTAGCTCTATAAAAAAGACTTTCGCCCGATGCCTCTAATTATTGGCTTTACCCGATAGAACTCGCACGCAAGCTCGAGCTCCAACTATCCCGAGGAAAACTTTGGAGGGAACCAACTACTAGACGATTTGATTAGTCTTTCGCCCATATACCAAGTCGGACGATTTGCACGTTAATATCGCTGCGGGCCTCCGCGTGTGTGTGTATATATATATATATATATATATATATCCGAAATTTGCCTAGCTTTATAAAATAAAAAAAAAAAAAAAAAAACTTACGCTAGAGATCTTTTGAGGGCGGGAAGAACAAGGTCGTGGCGTGCTTCGGTGCACCATAATTTGGAGGTAATGAACACTTCATTTCGGCTCATAATTAGTCCACGTTGAACCGCTTCCGCCACTGCTAGGCCAAGTGCCTCCTCAGAGCCATAGGCAGCGGCCGTGTCAAAGTGTCGATAACCGGCTTCAATGGCACCTACAAGTGTGGCGACTAATTCATCCAGTGGTGGTAGTGAAGGTGCTGTTCCCATGCCTATAAGAGGAATTTCATGACCAGAATTCAGCTTCACTCTTGGGACTAATACTTGCTTCATATCCATATCTATGATTAAAATGATCAAGTACTTGCTGATTTTGTATTTATCTTAACCAATGTTCTTTTTATGTCAAGAGAACAATTCATAAAATTGGAACGCTACTGAAAAATTAGTCAGACACTAGTTAGCCATTTTAAGTACAAACCATGTTAACCTTATCTTGTTGAAGTGATAGATTTAATGTGTGGTGGAGGTTGTCTATAATGAACTCTAGTTAGCATCAAAAGTCATGGTTGTAATATTCCTGGAAAACACGTTCTAATCTTTTTTACCGTTTTGTTTCACTATTTATGTCAAGTTCTTGTTTAATTACCTGTCAATTTGTTTTGAATACTAAGATAGCAAATTTCACCTTATGTCATAACGTTAAAAATTTATTCATATAGTATTTACATCAATTCAATAAATACATAACATATGTCTTAACATAAGTCTTATCACTAAGCTTTAAAGTCAATTATTACACATTGTAAACACCTATTGCGGGTATAAGTGTCTACTTTTGCCCATGGCATTTTCCTTAGGTTGGCTAATTTAGGTAGAAAAGTCCATCCTAAATAATGAGATGTTTAGAATTGAATTGAGCGGAAATGTCAAACTTTGCTAGCGTGTTACTGTTTTCTACATTGATATAATGTCTGGTGATAGTTATATACCCAGATTTATCCCACACCGTATGATAATAGTTATTTATATTTATAAAACAACCGATCGACATTAAATGATGCCAAATTTAACATTAACTTTGCCTCATTCAAACAAAGTTAAAGAGATATCACTAAAAATGTTACCATGACTTAATTCTAACAAAATACTCATTCATTGAAATTCTTTCAACATCTCATGTTTAGTACTAACAGTCAGAGAGACATTTAATCAAATATTGAATAAAATTAAGGAATCAATATCCGAAATACTACAGAAAGTTAAATAATTTGAAATTCCTAACATAACCATGCCATTCTTTTAATAAACATTAACAACTGATAGAAAAAGGCTCCTAATAAATTGATCTATAGATCTAAACAATAACCAGAGCAGTAATTATTTAAATTACAGTACATCAAATAGTACCACAGAGAACTAACTTAAAAATTCTCACATATACAATTGGAAAAGGAGAATCGAAAAACAAAAACAACCTAAAATTAAAGCACAACCCTGCCCTAATTATTAAGCAGACATACATCCAATACCATATCTAGTATTGGGAAAAACAAGAAAAAGTCCACTGCAAATAACTCCCACCATTAAAGGAAAACTCCTCATAATTTCATCAAGTTCTTTTGCATGTCCAGGGAATAAACAAAGCGTCACTCTATGATCCGAAAAAGCAATCGCCACAAATACTAAAACAGACATAATCGCATGCACGAAATCCGTAAATCCCACTACTTACCTGTTAGAAAAAGTAAACAATAGATTAAAAAAATGAAATAACGGCTTTGAAATGTGAAATCAATTTACTACAAGAAAAACAATGCTCGTGACGAAAGAATAAAATCATCACATATATCAATCCATATGAATAAATTCTGACATAAAAACTGTCACAAAATTGTGACAGACGATCTGTCTGTCATATATATTCCATCACAAAATTAATATCAATCCACATGGATGAATTCCATCATCAAAACTGTCACAAAATTGTGACAAACGATTTATATAAATATCAATCCACATGGATGAATTCTGCCATAAAACTATTACAAAACCGTGACAGGCGATCTGTCTATCATATCTATTCCGTCACAAATATTACCTCTCATCTTTTGGCACATCCACACCTAGTCCGGACTTGAAAACTTTCAATCCTCTTGGTGTAACAAATCCATAGTAAATTTTCCCGTCCGGTCCACGAAAACTATCGGTAAAATGGAAGAAGAAGTAAGACAAAGTAAGGCCAAGTAGTGTTAAAATCATTAATGTAGTGACAGGGGAACAATCGCCTTTGCCATAGACGGATGGAAGTACCATTTCAAAAGTTAAAAGTGTGCCTGTTGGCAAGAAATTAACAAGCAATGATGTTTTTGAGAGTGTTTCTTGAACCCCATTTGCCATTGCTCTTCTTTTTTTGCCACCAATTGCTGGTTGAGGCAATTCGGGGATCGGAACATCGTTGTCTGGTGGCAAATTAGTAGGGTATATTGATGTATCTGCACGTTTTGATGCACTGTAGATTTTGATCCCAATTCCCTCAGTATTTTGCTCCATTTTTTAAAGAAAATTGAGAAGATTTAGAGGGGTTGAAGATTGAGAAAAAAAGAAAAGAAGAATAATGATCACGAATGAAGTTTTCGGTCAAAGATGATGAATTAGTTTGGAGTATTGGATACTTGATTTGATGTACTTTTTGGTTTATTTATAGTTTTGGGTAGGTAAATTAAATATGGCATAAACAATTTTTTAATTTGGTTAACGTTAAGTAACTAACTTGTTTCGAATGGTTGCCACCCGCAAACTATTCCTCTCAAATTCAAAATTTGCAAGTACTCATTTTGGTAGTTATTTTTTTTCCCGTTAATTACTTTTTAAAAATAAATCATTTTGGGAAAAGGCAAAATGACTGTTATGATTACTCAGAGAGTCCAACAAAAAAATATTTGATTTACATGAGTTTAGATATGTTCCTTCCAATACTGTTAATATAGACCTCAATAATCGAAAAGGATTAGTATTATCATTGGACTAGACCACTGCTAATTATAATTATGGACATTTCCAATCAACGAATTACAAGGGAAATGATAAAAGAGTTTAAATTTATGTGCAATGATAGTGAAAAACTATTTTTTCCCATCAACTTAAAGTGAACTACAACAGAACCTGTAGTCTAACTTGGTAGCCTAGAAAATAATGTAAATTACTTGATAAAATAAGTTCAAATACATTGATAGCATAAAAATAAACGTCCATAAGTTATCCATAATAAACTTTACTATTAAGGTAGTTACATATGCGTCTACTTGACGCCCCAATTAGGGATGGCAAACGGGGCGAGGCTGGGCAAAACCTTAATGGGGCAAAGCAGGGCAAAGTATTAACACACTTTCAAGAAATAGTATTAACATGATATCTACTGATGAGGGTTGGAATTTGGAAGGAACAATTGTACCAATTGAAGGCGAGAAAAAGGTTGTGTCATATGCCTTCATTGCTCCTGTCATCACAGTGAAAGTGCGAGCACCAATTGAGGTGGAAGTACTCCCTCAGAAACCCAGGATCATGGCTCTAGTTGCTCAGACACCCTCATTTGAAACCAAAGCAGTCTGATATAAGGAACTAAGGAAAGGCAAAATTTGTTGCAGAAGCTGTTGCTGCAGGTATGACGAGATACGGACGGTGTTATGTTCCTGAAGAAGCATCACGAGGAACTTCAAGTAGGGACAACAACCAGAAGAAGTCCGTGACAGAAGCTGAAGTAGAAGAGTTTTGGAGAAAAATGCAATGCAGCGGATACTCTGTTGTAGACCCACTGAAGAAGACACCGGCTCAAATTTCCCTCATGTCATTATTGATGAGTTCCGATAGCCACATGAATGCTTTGGTAAAAGTCCTAAATGAAGCGTATGTGCCAGCCGAGACGACTAGTGAACATTTGGAAACCATGGTAGCCCAAATTCTAGAAGCCCACAAGATTTCTTTTCACGAGGATGAATTGCCGCCTGAAGGTCTAAGACACAACAAAGCTTTGCATCTCACTGTCAAGTGCAGGGACAAATTTGTTTCTAGGGTTTTGATTGATAATGGTTCTGCACTCAATATATGTCCTTTCACTACCCTCAAAGCTTTAGGAATTGACATTGGAAAAGTTCGTGAGAGTGATGTGAATGTTAGAGCTTTTGATAGAGCGCAAAGGAGCGCTATTAGTGAAATTGACTTAGCATTACAAATTGGGCCTGTGGAGTTTATCATTGAATTTCAGGTGTTAGACATATCTGCTACTTATAATTTGTTGTTGGGAAGGCCGTGGATTCACATGGCTGGTGCAGTCCCTTCCACTTTGCACCAGAACGTGAAGTTCGTGTGGAATCACCAGGAAGTTGTGATTCATGGAGAAGCAAGCAATCCCATTTACCCCGGGAATTCAATCCCTGTCATTGAAAGTGTGGAGAGGCTGGATGGAGCCACTGTCCACATTGAAGAAATTATGATTGCTACTCGAGGCAAAGAGATAAAGTTGCCAAGTGTGTTCGTGATGGTGGCATCAGAAATGTTGAAGAATGGCTTCGAGCCGGGTCGAGGACTTGGAGCAAGGTTGCATGGAATAGTGGAGCCAATTCAGCTACCAGGGCAGAACAACACCTTTGGCCTAGGGTACGAACCCACTCCAAAAGAAGTCTCGGAGGCTCGTCTCAAGAAGAAAAGTGACATTGTCCTGCCACAGCCTATCCCGCCGCTAGATGAAGATGCTGAAGACGACCTCGTTGAAGGAATCAGGAACCTATTTCTTGTCGACTGCAATGTGATTCTGAATGATTGCACTGAGACACCAACTACTTGGGATGCCGCACCTGGAGATGTTTTGAACAATTGGACTTGTACCCCGTCCCCGGTTCGCCGGGAGTCTTGGTAGATCGATTGTATTAGTACTTTTTTTAAACAACACGATTCAAAATTAAGGCCTGAATCGTGTCTATGATTTTTATGTTGTTTGCCTCGATCTTTTGGAAGCTTAAATGCAAAATCTGAATATGCTTTTTCGTTTTACATTTAAACTTTTTGTCTTTATTAATTTTCTTTCTTTTTATTTTATTTCATTTTTCAGCAAACAAATTAATAAAAATGCCGATACCGTGAATGTGACATGCAATGAAACAAGTGAACAAAATAACAAGCAAGATCTTGAAGAATATGAAGAAGACGTGCCGCCTGCAGAATTAACTAAAGAACTTGAGCAGTTTGAGAACAAGTCAAAACCAAATTTGGACGAAACAGAGCTTATAAATTTGGGGAATTCAGAGTCTATAAAAGAAACAAGAATTAGTGTCCATTTGACGCCATCAGAAAAGGAGAAATATGTGGATCTTCTGAGAAAATACGTCGACGTGTTCGCTTGGTCGTATGAAGACATGCCTGGTTTAAGCACCAATATTGTTTCCCATAAGTTGCCAACGGATCCATCTTGTCCCCCGGTAAAGCAAAAACAAGAAAATTCAAAACTGACTTAAGTTTGAAGATCAAAGAAGAAGTCTCCAAGCAATTT